CCCCAAAACCCCAAAACCCCAAAACCCCAAAACCCCATCATAGAAATCTACAATTGAAACCTAAATGATACCTAGTAATGATACAGTTTGAAAATAATCTACGATATGTGCATATGGTAGTTACTGACGAAAGCATTTTCATGAATTATAGGCAGTCTCAAATGACAAAGAATACTTCATGTTTAACCTAAACTTCAAAGAATCAATCATTAGCAGACTGAAAAGTTGATAAAAATTCAAGAAAGGACTAATGTTCCCTTAAATATGAAAAATTAATAGGTTTCCAAGATCCAAAAATTTGACTTCATCTACGCTTAAGTTTACACCAAAGCTACGACTAGACTGATTGCCCCAGCAATGAGCAAGCCTGCTCAAGGTCAGCCGCCCTTGAGGCTCAGGTTATTGGCAGATTCAAGTGTCGAAATCAGGTTAGAAATCCCAGCGGCATAGTTCAATGAATGAGTGTAATTGAACTTTGCAAAGCATCTGACATACCAGGTCTCGCTCTGGTTTGGAAAATAAACTGTACTATTAAGTTGGGTTGGAGTCAATCCACTCCATTTGTGTCTAACTTCCTTTGAATTTGTACTATATGAGTTCACCCCTGCTGGATAAGTCACGTATGTAAGAGTGGATTGCACAAAGACTACACCTGAAGTATCAGCTCCCCAATCAGAGCCTGCGTAAAAGTTAACAGTGTCATAAACAGATTCTAAGGAATTACAGCGTGAATTGCATTTCCATTCTATTGAGAATCCTTTCAGATTAGAATTATCAGTGGTAAGCTGGTAGCTGCTAGTCCCCACATTTATACAAGCTCCAGAAGCATAGTAGTTATTGCCCAGCGGACTCGAGGTTGAAGAAACTTTTAGGCTCAGTGTGACGTCAGAGTTACTCCTGTTGCTTGAATTCTTTGAAAAGCTGATTGTGAACTTAAAAAAATCGGTATCTACCAGCGTAGTTGAAGCGATACTAATGGTAATGACCGCAGCAAATAAAATAACATCTTTCATTAATATCAATTTTATTAGAAATATCTGGGGTTTTGGGGTTTTGGGGTTTTGGGGTTTTGGGG